AAACTTCCTTAGCTTCTTGAAGGTTTCATCCCTGTTTGGTGCAAGAAGCCGTTCATAAAACTGGCTTTTAGCACTGTCAGACCAACGTGTGCCTTCCTTTTTGGCTTCAGTCTTCTTGCGCTTTTCTCCCTGCTGGCTGCTTCCTTGCTCTGAAGGCCGTTTATGAGACTTCATAGGTGAAGGCTGAGTCAGAATGGAAACTAATGGCGGGCGTTCCAGTGGGACATAGGCCCTTGGGTTTGGAATAGCTGTATGTGTCGGATATCCAGGAAATGCTAGCCCTGGTGGGTGCACAAGAACTCCTTCCTCTGAATTTGGAGTCGCAGGATGTCTATATGGAGGAGTTGGATAGTAACCATACATATAAGGGTGCCGAGCTGTTTGGCTTGCAGCAGGCGTCGGAGGATATTCTGGTCCCTTTGTGTATATCATTTTTCAATGGGTAATTAAAATGCCTCAGAAATGAAATCATACCCAGTCATTATTACTTTTGGTACTGTCCATGCTCTAATGTGTGTAGGCGGCTCAACAGAGACTGAAAATGGTATGAAATAAATAAAAGGGTCGCACCCTGCTAGTACCTACAGCCCAATGCTCCGTAATAGTCCCGGTCATTGCTCCGGCCAAGCATCAGGCGGCATCATCGGCCTCCCATTTGATTGAATCGTGAGCACTTGCGATTTTTGATGCGATTAGAATTGAACAGCCCTTTTGCGCTCGAGACAGGAAGAGAATTTTGCACGCAATTGTTTAAAATAATAATAATAGATGTCATTTGCTTTATCGCACGATAAATTAATACTTTTTTGTAGGCAATTTATTAACTTTTGCTTTACTATGGGTGTTCGGGAACTTGCCCCGTACCGGGATAGTTCACTTTCGAAAAAACAATATTTCTTGTTGTTCCGCTCACTTGTAGAGCTTGTTATTTTTTCAGTAGTACCTTTACATGCTATTCTTAATTCCTCACTATCAATAACTCCCCAACTCCAACAAGATGTTGAGTATGAGACCAAACCAGACAACTGCTGAGCGTGATTTTCCCATCAAACATCCAGGAACTGTTGGAAAATGAATGATAGTCACTCAAAAAATGATACAGAAGATTATAGTACCATCGTCGGAGTATTTACCTAAAATTTAGAGTCTATCCAGCCAGTATTTACAATGTAAGAGATGAAAGAACATGAGTAGGCGAAGGAACGTGACAAAAAGGACGCCTAATGGCGCGGCGTCCGAGCAATGTTACGAGATGGGTGGCGCAATGGCTATTTCGTGACGATGATGTGACAGGGGTAATCCACTATCCCGATTTTCGCTCGGTCTTTGCCCGACGCCAGCATCTTATCCCACAAAAATCTCAGAAATTCAGAATAGAGGTCCTTTTCCCCAAGAAAGACAGTGATCAAGTCAGATGTAAGAAATTCACATTTCTGTAGAAGTTATTAATGATTTGGCATTTAGTGAACTATCGTGAACACCCATAGTATATTTGTTGTTGTATTTGTCGTGGACTTTTTCGCGCGCCATTTATAGAACCAGCCGTAGTGACACCACCGAAGTGCAAGAAACATCCCGCCCTTTCTGCATTGACAAGATCTATGGACAATGCGGCCACAAATACGCTCAAGAAGAGTGTTTACAGGGCCATATATGTAGAACCATCTCCCATGCTGCCCACTCCTACTCTCACTTATGAGTCCTCGACTTTGGCCCTTTTGTTTCTAAACAGCGGTATATACAAAAACTCAGTCACAGCGTTGAGCATGGGGGATCAAACAGAGGGTTAATCAAAACCCGGCGTCTAAGAATGTAAATGTGGCATTATGGAGAGCTTTGGTTCGAGGATGCTGGCTTCCAATGCATTGACGTGACTAATACTTGTCCGAATTGTTCAGATCTTTGGGATTCGTCTGAGCTCTCGTTCGCGTTTTGCCTCCCCCCTTTGACTTTAAATCCCGTTTCGTTTTTCGTCCAAAGTTCTGATTGCCAATTTTGGTGATTGGCATACACCTACGACTCCACCCCGACGGCTCCTGAGTGGAACCACGTCGATATCACCACCACCACCACCAAGGTCATAGAGGTTCAACTTTGGTCTACCTATGTGTGGTCCTCTGTTGTCTCCACGGCCTCAATTCCCCCATCGAGTTTGAATGAGTCAGTGTTCACTGGCAATAATTCCTGCTCCATAAAGTCTGATATCTTCCCTCATGTCTCATTTCTTCCATTCCCGTAGCGTCTACCTTTGTTGCACCAAGATCTGTGTTGTACCCACCGCCTGGAGAGTTGTGCCCAGCGGTCAAGGATACATCAAGATTCATGGGTCTCGGGCCTCCGTGAAATGGCTTAAGCCCCCGGGATGATTCGAGACATCTGACCGTAGAGGATTACTGTCATTTTGCTCCCATGTCTTGTAATAGTACTATTTCTGGTGGTGCGTGAAGACGTTGACGACATTGACTCAGCTGATAAAAAATAGCAATATCACGCCTTCACTTCTCAGCATGGACAGAACCGGATTCGAACCGGAGAGGGGACGGTGACTGCGCAAACCTGGAAAATACTCATGCAAAGCAAACATAATAACCCCTACACCAGTAGACGTTGAACTTGGTCTTGAGTTATATGCCGAGAGAACTAACTAAACCTTCCGAAGTGCACATTGATAACCTCCACTGTTCTACCAGTACCACAGGTCTACAGTACCATTATCCTTTCTATGAATAGATATACTTACAAGTTTCATTGTTTTGCCCAATCTGGCAGACCTCATTGAATCTGACCAACTCGATACATGCACATATATCAAAGGCTGCCGCAACCCTTGGGCGTGAATGGCCTTGTTTGCTAGGCAAGGCAAACCCTTCTTTCAACTCAACGTTTCGCAAGCACGAGAAGCCATGTGAAGTAAATGTACAGTGGTAAGTAAAGTAAGAAAGGGGCAGTAGTGCGACTTTGGCATCTTGTTGAACTTTCTCCGCTGTTTTTGAAAAAGAAAATCAATGATGTTGAGGGGTAACCTGGGCAATCATGAGGTGAGTAGGTACAAAATCAAGTCACTGACGGTGAATATAACGTACTGGACAAACCCGGATTTGAACCAGTGACCTTTCGCAGTGTGCATGCCGCAAACATCTGGGTAGTGACTTGTACCAAAGATAGAGAATGCAAAGTGAACATGATAACCCCTACACCATATGCCCAATAGCTCCTCAGTGTAAGGTAAGTATGTAACTAAGGAGCAGGCTCTCGGACTATATTTCGGAAAAGAGACAATTCAAACCTTCATGCTTGAACACATACATGAAACTGAGCCGCCTGCAACATTTTGCCTTTTCACTACGATACCGTCGCCACCCTCTCTGAGTCTCTACGAATACCCATTTTCTTTCGCCCAAAGTGTAGACTAATGTACTGATTATCCGAATTTGAATATGGCAGGGCATCGTGTCAATGAGAATGCTGATGCTGCTGAGATTGCCGATGGATTGTAGGTTCGAGGGGCAATCGAAGGTGTTAGACTCTTTCACTTCAGCTTTCTGCAATATGCGGAAAAAGTCATTTTCAGCAAGCAAAAATCAGAACAACAATTTCGTCGCAGATCAGAACATAGTGGACAAGTCCGGACTTGAACCCCAGTGAAAACCCGCACTGGGTTGAGCCGAGAAAAAGTCATGTTCCAGCTGTGATCATCCGAGATCAGCTGTTTTCCCAGAAATTCCAGATATCAGCCGTACAGGCTGTTCTTGTCTGTGTTTATCTGGCAAGAACCGCACAGAGAGTGAAAATTTAGTATTGTATATAACTGTGTTCTTCTGGGATAATATGAGTTCATCTGGCCTGAACTGTACAAGATACAATGTGATATTACTATTACTGTAGGCTGTTCTCATCTGGGTCCATCTGGGATAGTCTGAGTGAATCATATTAGAGTATTGGATTATTATCAACTGTGATGTACAAACTACATATAAATTACACCTGTACGAGGCCGCAGTTATGAGCGCTATGTAAGTACATTGAGCTGACTATGCATTGAACTGGCAGCTGGCTCTACATAAGACAACCTCTACATATAAACTGTACTTAACTAAGAAAGCACACATATTACACGTCAGCGTAGGTTATTGACAAACACGAGAGCTAAAAAAAATCGTTCAAGTAACTAGCTCAAAAGAAAAAGTATAGCTCACCTTCGGAATGTACAGGAGACGGAGTTGATGGAAGCACTAGCGTGTGGGATACCGGCATGATACAACCAACAAGAGCTAACCAAGAAAAAAATTAGTAAATTATTCAAGACAAGACTGAGATAGCTCACCTTGGAATGACCCAGCCCAATGAATCCATCCTCAAGTCTCTACTAGAGTCCAAAGCGAGTTGAAGAGTCGTTGAAAGAGTGTTGAATATGTACTGAGTTCATACTAAATAGACAGAGGTAGACAGAGTAAAGGAACAAACGAGCGATGTAAAAAAACTTTGAAATGTTGAAATTTTGTTGTGTCACATGCTAAGCCGCTCGGCCGCATTCCCTACAAAGTAAAAAATATCTCGAAGTCCGAGCGCCAAAGTCATATTATTGCTGCGTACTTGAGTCGCAAACTCAAACTTAGAGATTGTTCTGCATGAATTTCCCACCAATAGATTTGAGATTAAATTGAAAAAAAAATCGCCAGCTATACACAGTTGATACACAGACAGACACAGACCTACTCAGATATACGCCAAATGCCCAGATCAGCCCAGTGTGGGTTTTGACTGGGCTTGAACCGGAGAGCTGAGCCTTCCGCAAAGCACAAGAAACGTGAACAAATGTCGTTGTGAACGTCTACACCATATGCCCAATGTACATTCAGTATTCAGTATTCCAAAAGAGTAGAGTAGAGAGGTGAGGATTAGAGACTCTGTGTTTTTAACATATCCCCGCATGCATAAAGCTTTTCTGTTCGCGGGGTATTCCGGAAGACAAAAAGATGTGTTCAAAATCCCCATATTCATGGACAAATCTGGATTTGAACCGGAGACCTTTCGCAATGCAATTTCGAATCCCTCAGGATGCAAAGCGAACGTGATAACCCCTACACCATATGCCCGATATTATTTAGTATCATGCAGGAGACATAACCTGTCAATATTTTGATATAGTACCGACGACAAGAAATACCCAGTGGACAACTGATACTTTGAGTACTAGAGGGAGAGACTCAGCGACGAAGGCCGGTTGGATGGGACTCGCGCGTAGCTAGATATAAGCTGATACAAGACGTCAGTAATTAAAGTGAGTGATATTCAATGGATCAGATTGTTGTTCCTGGGGTCCGGGGCCTGGGGCCCTGGGGGCCAAGACTAGAGTATGTACCAGCCATCGAGGTGCCAAGGCAGAAAGGCTAAAGCATCTAGTTTGATCCTCGCATATCACGGGCGTCTACTTGAATGTCTCACGTGATAGCTGTTGGACGCGCGCTCTGTGATTTTGGATCTGATTTTGCTACGCCATTTACGTCCAGGTCTGCTCTTCTGCAGAAGGTTCCAAGTCAGAGATATTGGAAGTTATATATATTGGCTTTACTGGTGAGCTGGCAGCTACAAGATTTCTTCAGACTCAGCTTACGCACGTACATCAAGAAACAAAGGCTCTTCGACTTTAGATGAAAAGCTTACGAACGCCAGGACGACCTTCTGGCACAGGCGGAGCTTCCAGCCTGCCCACACCTAGATCTCGTTCCTCTAGTGTCGCGAACAACGAGCGAGCAAAAACTCCTACTTCCTCCATTCCCGCTGTTCCTTCGCTACCGGCAGCAATGAAATCTACGCGGCCGCCATCCAGAACATCAGGTCCCTCTTCTAATGGCGTATTTATCCCCACACTTAACGCGCCAGTTAGAATCGAATCTTTGGGCTTTGAAGGCATTTTACGATATCTAGGAGAAATTCCGCCGAAACAAGGTATCTGGGCTGGCGTAGAACTAAACCCTGGTTTTGCTGGCAAAGGAAAGAACGATGGAAGTACACCAGATGGGAAGCGGTATTTCGAGTGTGCACCAATGTGTGGTGTATTCGTCAGTGCGTCGAAACTGTCGCGTGCAACGACTGGAGTTTCCAGGCCGCCGTCGGTTGCTTCTACAGCAGAGAGTGAATCAATGTCGGGGCTGCTAAGTGCTTCTTCCAGTAGCAGCATCGCTGGTAGAATTACACCCTCGGCACGCACAGGAAGACTCAGCTTGGCGACTTCTTACCGATCTACTTCGGCCTCTGGTCGAGTTACGCCTTCCAACTCCCTCTCTACCAGCACAACCAGCCTCGGTCCAGAAACGCCTGCAGCCCGTGCGGGTAGATTACGATCCTTGAATGCCGGAATCACACCTTTGACGAAGAGTCGTTCGCAAGGTGCAAGTACAGAAAAACCAGTTCCGGTTCCTGTTGTACCTACACTTCCCCGTGCCTCTTCGGCGACAGGTTCTTCTATTCCCTCTTCGCTACCGTCTCCAACGTCATCGACTGCTTCTCCGAGAAGAATTCCATCTTCTTCCAGTCAGCTTTCCTCTCCATTCAACACGCCCAAACCACGTAGTCTTGTCACTCCAGGGTCAGGTATCGGAATGGGTTCACCTCACGGAGCGACACCTCGCGCCAGAATACCCAGTGCTGTTGCTATGCCGCCTCCCCCTAGTCCAAGCAAAGATCTATCCGATCTTCAGAAAACGTCGAAGGAGCTCCAGGACAGAATTCGTAATTTGACGGGAGAGACTGCTTCTCCGCCATCCCCTGCTCTTAGTGCCACGAGCAAGGATGCTTCTCCGCCTTCCGCAACCTCCACTTCCTACTCCCACTCTTCACAACCCGTTGCTTCCCCCACACGACGAACACAATCGCGTATAGCGTCTGGAACTATAGCTTCGCGTGCACGATCAAGATCTCGTGGCGGCTCTACGTCCATCCCATCTACTTCCGCTCACTCCAGGCCGTCTAGTGTAGCGTCTAACGCTTCTGCCCTTTCCACGTCCGTGTCCACCTCTGCCCGAGCGTATGCCCCACGCTCTTCGACCCCTGGTTTCGGCCCTCGCTCGTCTACGCCTGGATTTGGACCCAGGTCATCAACACCCGGTTTCGGGAGATCAATTTCTCGAGCTGGAGCGGACACGCCGTCCTCAACTGCAGACGAAAGGCTGCAGAGGATGCAAAGCCGAATTGCGGCTCTCGAGTATGAAAATGCTCGCCTGAGAGACGATGTCCAAGAAGAGCTGAACAATGCGAACGAAGTGGAAGAGCTAAAGCAAAAGCTGAAAGAACTGGAAGAGCTTCTCCTAGAACGTCTTCGGACGCTGCTCAGGTTCCATCCCAGGACGAGGACGATGCTGCCGAGTCCCTGTTACGATCTGCTTCACCTTCGAAAGACCCATCCGCGGAACAAAAACTCCGCCAGGAAGTCAACCTCCTCACCATGCGCCTCGACGACGCTTCTACCAAAGCTCTCTCTGCGCACGCCCGTGCAGAACAACTCCAGTCCACTTTAGACGCTCTACAGTCCGCTTCTGATGCCCAAACCGCTGATCTCCAAAAGCTCCAGTCCGAACTCGACTCCGTGCAGGACGCCCTCTCGTCTCGCGAAACCGAACTAGCTTCCACTAAATCCACCTACGCCCAGACCCAATCAGATCTCGAAGAGCATCAGGCAGAGATCGGTGCTCTCAAACGCTCCATGTCCGAAACCGCCACCAAACACGCGGACGAGAGGGAGAAGGACCGAGATATGTGGGACGTTGAACGCAAAGAACTCCGGAGCCAGGTCGACGAGCTACGAAGGGCGGGACAAGAGACCATCGCATTGTACGAAGAAAAACTAGAGGAGATGCGCGTGGCCGGTGTCAAAAGCAGCGACCTCTCCTCCTCGGTGTCGTCGCTGTCGCGCAGCCGCAGCTCTGTCATCGCCGACGACGAAGCGAGCAAAGAAACCGCGTCCTCTATCGAGCATTCCGCGCTCCTCGAGCAGCTCACCTACCTCCAATCCAAAACCGCGTCGCTGTCCGATGCGCTCGAGGATGCACGGCATCTGCATCAGAGCGATCTTACTATCCTGCAGAACCAGCTTAACCAGAGCAAGGCGCAGTACAAGGCGCTCAAGGGCGAGCTGGAGGAGCGCGTGCGGCTTGCGGAGCTGGAGGTTGGGAAGAAGGAGCGAGAGGTCGAAGGTGAGCGAAGGCGGAGGGGTGAAATCGAGGAGGCTTTGAGAGAGTGTGGGGAGGCTTTGGAAGAGGCTAGAGCTGAGGTTGAGGGGTTGAGACTGGGTGCTAATGGGGAGGAGTCGGATGATAAGGAGAAGGCAGCGGAGCGAGAGCTGGAGGCTTTGCAGTCTGAACTTGGTGTAGCGCAAACTTCGTTGAAGGCGTCGAAAGTGGAGATATTAGGATATAAAGAGGAGATAGCTGGTCTTAAACATCTTGTTAAGGAGCTGCAGCGTCTGCAGAGGGATTCTGCAAGGGACGAGGAGGATGAGATGTCGGAGAATGCGGTGCTTAGACAGGAGAATGAGGTGGTGAAGGAAGAGAATAAGGCGCTTTTGCGTGAGATGGAGGCGTTGAAGGAAGAGGTGAAGGTTCTTGAGGAGGGATTGAATGTGTTGGAGGATGAGGACGAAGGGAAGACGAAGAGAAGAGAGGCTGCTGTCAATGGAACGATGAAAGATGGGAGCCCGCTGGTGAATGGGAAGAGTGGAGGTAGCGAGGATGTAGAGGAGCTGAGAAAGGAACTCGAGCTTCTTAAGAAGAAGATGGCAGATATGGATGTGAAGGCTGCGCGGAAAACTCATGATGTGAGTACTCAACCTTTAGCGTTTCGTTATCAAACTCTTGATACCTTTTACTTAGCTCAACAAGGAGATTAGCGAGTTAGAGGCTTTAGTGGAGACCAAGATCTATCGAGAAGTTCGTGGCCTCGTAACCCTCCTGTGTTCCAATCTAATTCCTTGTTTCCATAGGATGAGCTTGAGCAGGAAATCGAACGACTGAACGAAAAACTCCGCAAAGCGACCTCGAAACGCTCAGGAAAATCTAGTAGCGGTGCAGGTGATACGTCGCTCAGCTTGTCTCCATCCCATGCGTCCGCGCCTTCTTCTGCGTCGAGACACCATAATTCCTCTTCGAATGGCTCTGCATCCTCACACAAAGTAAACGGAGTCGGAGGAGCCGTGGAACTCACGCCACCCCCGCCATCGACTGTTGCACCTGGAGCTGAACCTGTCTGTGAAATTTGCGAACGACCAGGGCACGATATTTTCAGCTGTGATTTACTAAGAGAAGATTATGTTTGATGATAATCCTACCATCACTTCAGCTACAGTCGGATCTGGAGCCGAGCTTGTTGGTGATGTTGGTGACGCTGGTAGTACGGGGGACGCTGATGTATGGTGCGAAGAGTGTGAGGGGCACGGGCATCGAGCGGAGGAGTGCCCCTATGCTGGAGACGTTTTTTAATTTGCGCATCTGTTACTTTGTGGCGGAGGCGTCGCGATGAGCTTTATCCTTTTCTGGTTTTCTTTTGGTTTTGGACGCATTTACCTGTGTACTTACATTGGAACTATTAGCATTTTTTCTAGTTTTCTTTATCTCGTATCTTACTCTCATCTTATAAGCAGCTTTTTCCTTTCATTCATCATCACCCATTTGTACTTATGCCTAGTCTTATCCACTCACTGTATATTCGCAGTTTTGAAATCAGCTTTGAGAATATTCTAAACCATTTCTAATATTTAGTAGTCAAACGTACAAGGAGAATAAATGATTCTTTTCTGATTCTCCCAGCGAACAAAGTCTTCCGACTTTACCATCATCTTCAACATCAATCCATGCCTGAAGACGGATCTCCTGCATGAGAAATGTTTCTATGGTAGGTATATGCTGTACAATGCTGGACGTGTATTCAATGAGAGCGTCATGCTTGGGAGCAGGGCCATACGCATGTACAGGGGAGGATGGGGTGAACAGATACTGAAAGTTGACATACTGGAGCGAGGAAAAGAGGCGGAGCAAAGTGGCTAGCTCTTCAGTGTTCTATAACCCATGAGCATCTTAAATGGCGACGAAAGATCATAGTAGGA